AATGCAAGTTTGACCTAACAAGTTTGAAAGGCTTAAATGCCAGTTTGATATGACAATTTTGAGAGGCTTAAATGCCAGTTTGATATGACAAGTTTGAAAGGCTTAAATGCCAGTTTGATATGACAAGTTTGGAAGGGCCGAAAGACCAGTCTGATATGAAAGTTTGATAAGGCCAAAAAGCACAAAGTTTTTAAATTGCTTCCGTTTGGCCCCCATTAACTCTGATAAAATACGTTTGGTTTGGTTTGAGGTCGTAGGTAATTTCACGATTACTGGCCGGTTATGTCCTTTACCCACGGGGGCGGGTTCGGGTCATGACAGAGGCCCCCATCTATTGTTGTGTTATCTAAAAAATATCCTAATGATAATGTTGATGTTTGGCACTGTGCTCCAACTAAGGCTATTCCGATTCTGATACGGACTAAGTCTGTGGGTTTACTGGAGAGGCGAAGAGATTTGTTGTTAGGAGGTTTTGGGAAGAGTGGTTCAGTTATTCATGAACACAGAGGTCGTCTGAGTTTATCTAAGATTGATGTATGCAGAGGTGGTGATGGTGTTAGTGATGTTGATCCTGGATCATCGATTTTGGAGGTTGGTGTTAGAAAAGAGGAAGTTGATCGAAGAGGATCAGTTGTTATGGACCTCGCAGAATTTTCTGATGTTTTACAAAATGTAATAATGAGTGTAAAAAATAGTGATGAGACTAAAGATGTAACAGTTGATGATAAGGGAAATGTTGTAACTAAATAAAAGGTTTGAGTGGTTTCATAAATAAAATTAATTTTTTTTTTATTAATCATGACAGTGGTTACATTTACATCAAACCATTCTCTCATTTTTGGGGACATTGCATTTAATCAACTACTATCTCCATTAGTTAATATAATACAAGGAATTCCTCCTCTAATGGTGAGATATGGTCGAAATTTGATAAATACGTGGAAGTCTCTTTGACATCCAACTAGATTCTTCATTAGTTCAGTCGGGATTGTTAAATACTTGATGTCGTCTATGATATTGTAGACGGCGTCTTGATCGTAGTCCTTCAAGCTTATTCTGCCGGAGAAGTAGTTGTGTTGTTTGAGACTTCTAGCCCATGCGGTTTTTCCTGTTCTTGAGGGTCCTTCGAGGTAGAGGGAGATTAGACGAATGGGCCACTGTTCCGAATCCTGTTGTTAGAGGAGAAGGATAGTTCTTCGTCAGTATATAAATTGTTGATATTATTTTTGTATATCCCTAATCTAATCCAGTCGTCTTCCATCCAAACGGAGAGACAACAATTTTGACATAACTTGTATTGTACAAAATTTCGACTTACAAACAAAATATTATTTTCTGCCCATTTTTTTACTTCTTCATTTAGAAAAGGAAATGAATTAAAGAGGCTAGTATATGGGGGCATATGTTGTTTGTAATGATCCCTCGAAAATATTTTTAATTGGGGGTATTTTGTGACGTAATCGTTTGGACATCTTTCTTTGTAGAGTGTAAAGAATTGTTCCTCCGATTCTGCTTCTGCAAGTATTCCCTACCAAAGTTCATCTCTGTTCTTGGAAGGACTTTTCCCTTTAGATGATAATTCTCCCTATTCCACGAAGTTGCCCCCTTTCTGTATATACTGTCGAATTGCTGTTGGAGAATGAAGTTTTTCTATATTTGGATGATAGATTCTATCGTTGGTTCCACTGAGATCAAAAAATCTCTAGTTGGAGGTTTGGATTTTCTTAATGCATTGAACCATGGCATGAAGGTGAGGGTTTCCATCTTCGTGGAGCTCCCTTGCGACAAGTATGTAGTATGGCTGACAGGCAAGTTGGAGAAGAGATTGGAGGAGTTCTAAGAGTTGTTCTTTTGGGCAAGGGCATTGTAGATAAGTGATGAAAACATTCTTGGCATAGAAACGGAAAGAGGCTTGGCAAGGCATTTTGTAGTGTTAAACAGTGAACTCACACCAACTGTACAAGGCTTCCTTATTAGTTAAAAAATCAAGTGTGAGTGGTCTGACTAGGGGGGGCGCTATATTAATATTACCAGCGCCCCACCCCCCACGCTGATCTAGGCCGTCCATTGATATACTTATGGACACGTGTATGGATGTAGTAAAAAGGAAGTCACACTTGGGCCCTAGTGTGAGTGGTGTGAGTACTTTTGATTCCTTTGTTAGATAGTGCTATACACGTGTCATGTTTGTGGTGGTTTGCGTGGTTGTAAAGTAAAGATATTTTAAGAATGATTGACATAAAGCAAAGGCGGGAGTAAGGATGTTGCAACTGTATGCTGAAGAATTAAAGGACGTTAAATTTGACAATAAAGGTGTGGCGAGATTGCTTAATGGTATTGAGTTGGGTAATAAAAGATGTGGCCGTCAATCAGACAAGATCATGGTTAAGGGTATAAAATTAATTGGGAATATTCAATTGGGACAAGATGCTAAAGACGAAGTTGTGGTCCACCACGTATTATTTTTTGTCATAAGTGATAATAGTTCGTCAAATTACGTCCCCACACCAGACAAGATATTTATTGGAGTTGGTGAGGGTAATCCTAAGACCTGGATTGTCGATCTTGACCAGTCCGACAGGTATTGGATGTTAAAGAAAATGAGATTTAAGCCTGTTGGTGGCAAGGACAAAGAGTACGTTCGGTATGGAATAAAGGTTGTGGACCAGTTCTTCCCAGTTGATGTTGGGACGGACTATAAGGATACACTGTTGGGAAATGTTGGAAGTATTCAGAAGGGTGCCATATATTTAGTGGCTGCTACTATTAGTGGAAAAGAATGTAAAATTTCATTAAAGAGTCAAATGTACATTAAAACGGTTTAGAATTCTAAATTTATGTACTTTTATTTGTAATGTTTTGGTGAATGGAGGTAGACGATATAAAAACTGGTGTTGTTAAAGGTGTTTCAGCAAGTGACTTTAGTTGTATTGAACTTGCGTTGCCTAATTTATTTTCTCAGTTGAGGTTGAGATACAAACAAAAGAGTATTAAGGTTAATAAAATATTGATAAAATATTCCCCCCTTTACGCACCCAATGCTAGTGGGTTGGTTAGAGTAAACGTGTATGATCGGAGGTTAAATGATAATGGCAGTCTGCAGGCGTATTTTATTTTCCCTGGGGGATTGTCAATGCAAGTTAGTTTATTACCGAAATGGTTATTGTTCAATTAATGACAAACAGGTGCCATGGATGGTGAAGTATCGATTTAAAATTTTGAATATTAAAAGAGGGATTACATATTGTAAAATAAAGGGATATTTGAAGTATTCTACGAGTAACATGTCAAAAGATGTGCAAATGAGGGCCCCATCTATTGTTGTGTTATCTAAAAAATATCCTAATGATAATATTGATGTTTGGCACTGTGCTTCAACCAAGGCTATTCCAATTCTGATACGGACTATGTTTGTGGGTTTACCGGAGAGGCGAAAAGATTTGTTGTTAGGAGGTTTTGGGAAAAATGGTTCAGTTATTCATGAATGCAGAGGTCGTCTGAGTTTATCTGAGATTGATGTACACAGAGGTGGTGATGGTGTTGGTGATGTTGATCCTGGACCATCGATTTCGGAGCACTACAACAAAACTGACTTTTTACGACACCACATCAACGACACACAGTAAATGCACGCCGTAGTTTTTCACTTTTACGACTTACTTTTTTTGCACGTCGTAAATACTTTTCCAACCACGACGTGTCTATTGCGTAGGCCGTGAATGGTAATAGCAATGATTTTTTTACGGTTTGCAATGCACGTCATAAATAATAAAACTTTCTACGACGTGCATATGGCGTGCCGTTAATATATCAATTATTCACGACGCACATACGTCAGTCGTGAAAAGTGAATACATTTCACGGTATACACAACGCCCGCCGTTAAAAGTATTACTTTTTTTAAGCCAAAATAAAATTTGGGGCGCCAATCACCCAAAAAATATATATATATTAGAATTTTTTTTTTTCCCAAAATAACTATTTTGCCTCCGAACATCAGAAGGATTTCAATCTCTCTCTCTCTCTATCTCCTCTCTTGCTGCAGCCTTCACTCTATGTTTTTTGGGGTAACTGCAGGCTTCACTCTCTCTCACTCACTCTCTCGTTCTTTCATCTCTCTCTCTCTCTAGCAATCGGTGATCGGCCAGCGAGACAACCGGTGGTGATCGAATCAGGTTCGCCTTTGCAACACATTCAATTAATCCAATTAATTCCAGATCGAGATCGTACGACCTCGCTCTCAAATTCGATCCGCCCAATTTCAAATGTAATTTTACAGTTTTTTTCTTTTTTCGGTTTGATCTTGCAAAAGCTGGACCTTAAATCAGCGGAATATCGATCTTCACCAGTTTATTTATGGGTTTTCAATTATTAGGTGGAAAATAATTTATTTCCTTATAATTTTGTTTATAGGGTTTGCGGTTGTTTTTTAATTTATACTATTCCTGTTATTTTTGGGTAAATATTTAGCTTACGTTTGGTTGTGTTTTGTAAATGTGATTTGAGAGTATGAGTTGCATTTTGAGTTTGTAAGTTGTAAAATTATGATTTGAGTGTAAAAAATTTGTTTGGTTATGATTTTTAAATAGAGTGTTGAATTGTGTTTTGAAGATGTATTTTGAATTAAGTTTTAAAAATTTGATGTGACATGTGAAATATGAAAATTTGTTTGGTGATGTGTTTTGAAAATAATTTTCAAAACTTAATTCAACCAATAATTTATTATTAAACACACAACGCATTTATCGATATCTATATTTTTTATCAACAATAATAACCAAACTATTTTTAAAATACTGAAATTAAAAATTGATTTTTTTGTCAATTAAATTTTTTTTAGTAATTTTTTTGAATAATTTTTTTTTTCAAATAATTTTTTCATTTTAAAATAAACCTATATCAATTATTTTGTGTCAATTAATTTTTCTATCAATTCATTTTTTACGCCTGTACAAACATCTTATAAAATACGTATTTAATTTTTTTTTTTAAATTTTGTTAAAGTCAACAACTTTTGAGAATACATATTAATAAAAATTAACATAAATACACTAAGTTTAATATTTTAAAATACAAATCATAACGTAAATCTTACAAAACATTATCAATTTTTTTTCAGGTACGGGGTCTCTTTGTGCAAAGGTTCAAATAGTTCTAGGTTCAAACAGTTAAAAGCAGAGCAAGCTGGCCACAGGGGATGACCAGTAGGTCGACCGGCTGGATGACCCGGGGGACGACCGGTCGGGTGTCCCAGGTATCTCTTCGTGCAAAGGTTCAACAGTTCACAATTTAAAATACCAACAGATCTGAAATGAAAAAAACTCGTCTACAAATTCTCAGAAATCATTTGGGAACTGATTTCAATTTCTCTTCTCAGAAATCATTTGGGAACTGATTTCAATTTCTCTGAAATCATTTATACATAACAGATGAAGATTGATTTACCAGATTAATGGGCAAAAGGTTGAAACAGTTCAGGAAAATCAGAAAACATCTGAAACAAAAAAAAAAAAAATAGTCGGCTACAAATTTAAACAAAAAGATTTGAGAACTAATTTCGACTCGTCTGAAATCATTTGCACATAATAGATGAAGAATTTATTTACCAGATTAGTAGGAGTTGAATAGTTATCGCAAAAGAGGAAAAAGACAGACACATTGAAATCGGAGAACTGAAGTACGAGATACCAAACAGATTTTCAAAATGTAATTTGAATTAACACGCGGAATCAATTTTTTAACGTCGTATCCAAACGTCATGCGCGAGCTCACGTGTTGAAAATTGATTTCAATTAACAACCAAACAGAGCCTAAACCTCTCATTTGAACAAAATATCTTTCCTTTGAAAACATTAGTTCTTTAGTCAAATTTAGGTCACATGTAAAAAGAAATGTCGGCATGCCTGCCGAAAGTTTGGCAAAATATAACCACCCTGTCAAACATACAATCACTGTAACTATAAAGACAAGAAATTTACCCATAAAGCTGCTAGTACTACGTGCACTCGCTTTAGACAATAGGAAAGAAAAAAATGGTAATTTGGTGCACTCGCTTTAGACATAGGAAAGAAAAAAATGGTAATTTGGCACGGTGCAAGTAAAAATCTATCAACAGTTAACTATTACAAGCCCAAAGAGAGGGCCAACACATGCCCATGCAATCCAACAACAAAATAATGCCCAATGGCATTGATACAACTGTTGATCTTCACAAAAGAATCATAAACTCCAGCTTTAATCAAGGACTGGTGCATCTGAAACGTAAAAATAGGGTATGAGCTCCAACTAGTAGTTGAGACCGTCTAAAATTTCAAAACACTTTTACAGTGACATATGTGAGTGATCATGGATGTTTACATTATGTAGCTCCAAATCAGCATTTGTTATTGCAATGAATAAGACTACCATCATTTCCAAATCTTATTACCAATTTGTTACGCCTTACACCATTCCTCGAAATTTATTTCCCAAATCAAGTTTCATCATCAAAACCACCCAACACAATAACATTCACACAACACACACAACCAGGATTTGTGTCTTCCTTGGACTTTACTTTAGCACAATTTGAGTAAAATTCCGGCTTTATAGGTTTGCTAACTAGAGGGACTTGTAATCTCACTTGGCCAAGTTTTTGGATTTTCACCTTGAAACTTAAAATTCATAAGCACTTCATGAATAATTACATTATTTATATAGTTCAAAACCAAGATTGGATATAGCAATGAATAAGACTATTATCATTCTCAAATCTTATAACATGTTATTCATCAAATCGTACGTATTTAACGACTTTTTAAGGTGAGAAATCATATATTTAGCATGCTGACATTGTCTCAACTAGCCTAAAAAAATCAGACAGCACAGGTTGAGATTTTCATGAAATAGCACATGTAACTATAAAAATGCATAAAGAAAAGTAAAAAAATCGAAATTCCCAACCAAACCCAAATAGAGAAAAAATTCAGAAATCCCAATAGTGCCGAAAAGCAAATCTGTTCAGATGAACACGAAGCCCTTGCAATGATCTACAAGTTCTCTTTCACTTGAAAGTTGAATCCCCCTCCAAAATGCCAAATTTGTAGAGAGATGAGCGAAGGGCAGGGTTTGTGACGTGCTTTAGAGAGAGAAGGGAGGAGAAGGAATGAGGTGGAATGGTTTATTTTGGGACAACTGAAGGTGGAGTCCACAAATTCAATTTTGGGGCAAAATTCAAAATTTGCAGCAGGTGTCCCTCCACCGTTGACCTCCACTCTGGTGGTGTTGTGTTGAGCATCAGCTTCAGGTACCATGTTTTCTTGTTAATTTTCAATTATCAGTATTCTGTTGCTGCTTCTTATGTCAGTATGGGTTTTGATCAGGTTTCAACTTTCTTGGATGTTTGATGGATTTTGGCTTTCCTATGTATATATTCCATCAACTTGAAGTAAAGGAATATTGTTGCTGAAACAAGTTGATGATTGCAACAGTAAAGTTGCTTTTTAAGGATTTTGTAAGTCCTAAGCCATGTCTTCATGTAAAAAGTTAAGGCCATTAAGGTTTTTTGTCACAAGTTGGGTTTTCGGGGCTTTCCATTTAGTTTACAATGCTTGACATCTGTATGTGGAGTTATAATCGGCTAATATATGTGCACGAAGCATTAGTACACGTCACACTGACTATACGCCTTGAGTTCTACTGAATTAAATGGCTTTTATTGAAGGATTCAAGAGTGAGGAAGGCATCGCTGTCTCCTCTCATAACCCCTGCTATCCATCCTATCCTAAGCCAAAAGACTTGAGAGTTTCCACAACTGTATGTAGCTTAAACTGAGTTGTATTATGGTGTTTTCAGAAGTATTTACCACTTTAAAGTTTAAACAATTCCATGTATCTGTTAACATAGCTTATCCACTAGATCATGTCCTAATCCTGTACTTAATTGCATACTGACTATCATATGACATAGTCTATTTTTTGTTTCTTGGGGGTCTTTCAGTGAATTAGCCAAAAATATAAATTCATAATAAACAATTTGAATTTAAGTATGCAAAAAAGACAATTGTCCACATCAATAACTCGTATCAGCAAATAGCTTTAATAGATGTCACAATTACCATCATCAAGCAAATACAATATGTGACAATAAGGAAATCAAAGCACAACACATACCAATAATACACAGATAAAGAAAATGTGATGTATGCATAATGGACTCTGGCACACTACATTGGTTTGATGATTTGCGTTGGGTTGCTGTGCATCAAAGTAAACAGTTTTGGAAGAGAACCAAAAAAAATAAGGAACTAATTAATAAAAAGGATTGGCCATTTAAGTACCTTCTCCACAGGTTGCCCAGTGATCTCCGATGGTAATCTTGGAACAGGGGTTACTGCAGTGCTGACAGTTGAAGTAGCTCTACAAGTTAAAACACAAATGTAAGTCTACAGAAGCAAATAAAAGAAATACAAACCAACAGAGACGTTATGCAGATACATCCCTAATAGTTTACCTGAATTTCCCTTTTTTGTTTTACAGATACAAACAAAGGCACACTATCTATTGCAAGCAATTCAGTTCTTACAAGAATGTACTCAATATCATATACTGTTGCAGTTTGCAATTTAAGCCCAATGACACAAAACTTATTTTGATTGCTAACAAAATTGAGCACCCCACCAACCATTCCTCCAATCAATTTGGATTAAAAATTATTCACTAATTTCATATCTTCCTCTAATCATTCCTCTTTTTACCCGAAAAAGAAAGACTAACACATCTACAAAAGACAAACATAAAACAATGTTAACCAATGCACCGCAAAAAGAATGGGGTGGCATGTGGGTAGTAAATAGGGTGTGCCATTATTGACAATTAAGTGTGATTTTCTTAAAATGACATTAAATTAAACCATAAAAATGAGAAGGAAAATGCTCGAAATTGTTTGGTCATACAGTTCCTAAAACATATAGCTAGGCATGTGGGCAAAGAGGGAAAATGACACTAATGAAAGACCAAATGGCACATGCTCGAAATTGTGTAAAATTTGGTGGATTGATGGAAACTGTCTTGGAATCAGGATCCTTCAATTCACCATGGACCTTGATCGATTTTGGGCAAATTCAATCGTTTAGGCCATCTATTTCACGATTTTGCCATTTTTAGAAAGTTTTGTTATGATTCATCAATTACTTGGTCCATACGAATCCGATTTGACCATAGTTTTTTTCAAAATATTTCTTTTCATTCTAGTATCAAATTTGGGTTTAGGGTTTAGGAAACATTTTGCTATTTCAGTACTTTTTCTTATTTTCCTGTTAATTAAGACACTACCTAAATTGGTTCTTCCCTAGTATGATAGGGTTTCTTCTATTATAAATAATGATTGTACACCTTAAGCTTCTCAATTAATTAATAATATACAAATTTTCTTTGAGGATTGTCAGTATTTTTCTTATTATTATGATAATCTTTAGATTCAACAAAGTTATAAAAGAGTTGTGATTTTCTAGTTGCTTTACAGATGCAGACACATAAACTTCAAACACAAGGTATAACCAAATAGTAGACCAACACCACACAAATAATACTTACCACACCAGATGGTAGACCAAGGGCAGGGGCAGGGACAATAGGATCCCTTGGAAGAGGGAGTTGCATCCCCATCCTCTCACGATTATAAAATTTTTTATAATTAATCTATTAGGCAACAATAGATATAAATCAAAATGAGAAATTTTATATAAATATATATAATAATAATAATATATGGTAAACCTCACCATGAGTATATCAAATTCAGACAACCATTCATCCATAACCGGATACATGGCAGACAAATATTGGTTTTATAATAATAATATATGGTAAACCTCACCATGAGTATATCAAATTCGGACAACCATTCATCCATAACCGGATACATGGCAGACAAATATTGGCTTCCAACTCCTCTCTCATTTCTGACGTCCCGAGCGATTCTTAAATATCCATCATGCCCCCAATTTTTTCCCCACGAGTTTTGAATTATGAAAAATTTTCTTGAATTCTCTACCCCATAACCAACTATAACAATTGCATGGCAATAAAGTTTTTCACTAGGTTCTTCTCCTTCATATATAAAAGGGTTGTCCATACTAGCACATTTGAATTTCAAACCAACCATCATGGTTGCTAGTACTGGTTGGGTTGTCAATGCCAACAAAAGATACTCCTCATTACATTGGGGTATTCTGATGAACCCATCAATGGTTTGCTTTTTCGTCATATCATTACCATATCTCATCGTTACACCATATATCATGGCGTACTCATAGCAGTATTTAGGTAAACATCCCACAGCATGAGGTGTTGCACTTGGATGACATTCTATCAATTCTGACCAATTTAGCATTGATTCAACTCCTGCGACAATTCTAAACATAACTTCAACGGTGGTTGCCGTACTTAAAACATAGCATATTTGTAAACCTCTCTGATCTTTTTACCTCTGGCATGCATTGAATCCAACTGCAAAATGCAGGAACAACCCATTTTCCATCATCAACTTGCAGATGTATCCAATTCTGTATAAAAAAATAATAATAAGAATTAAGCAAATAAATAAATAAACTATAAGTGTTATCGGACTATTGAAAACAAAATCTAACACAAAAAAAATCTTACCGCACCTGCACCCCCAAGCTCCGATTCAATCCGTTGACGAGCTGTCAATCCATTGTTAAACTTAACAAATGCAGGTAACAAATTTCTTTGGGCTCTAACATCATTGTAATTGAACTTTTTGTCACATTGAACAAATTCCTTATGCATTATCTCAAAAATAGGAGTTTCCCACACTTTTGACATGTTTTACAAAAACAATAAGAATGTTCCAATTTCAAATGTTGATCAGGGAAGAAAACCAAAACCTCCGTATATGAGGACAAAATTCTTGAGGACAAAAACCTCCGTATCGCTACAGTACACGAGGGAAAAGGAGGATTTAAAGACAAGAATTGCCTTCTGATTCGGGGGCCCAGAAAGAGTTAGTCGGGAGAGGCCCAATTAATCTCATTCAGTGGGTGGTCTGTACCCTAGAAGCAAGCTCACGTAATCGAAAATTGCAAAATGAATAAATAAATAAAATAACAACGTATAAAACATGTGATTTTTTTGAAGGGCAAATATTAAATTTAGAAAAATTATAATACAACCATTCACATCTACTAGGTGATCGCGGAATGGATTGAATCAGGTGACATTTCATTCATCATCCGTTCAAAATAGGCAGATTAGAGAAAAAATCAATCTGCATCCATCTACTAGTTTGGCGGATGTATATTGCACAGGCCATGCCAGTTGGCAGATGAATGCGATCAGTTTGGCGGTTTAAACCTTATAAATTTTAGACATTTTTTTGAATTATAATTTATAACTTTGAGAGAAAATGAGAGGCTATAGAAGATAATGAAAGTTGTAGGTAAAAAAGTCCAATTTTATTTTATTTTATTTATTTATTTATTTTAATTTGTCCTTTTCACAATAAAAATATGACATGAAAGATCTTAGATATTAAAATATTTTAACTTGGACATTTTATAAGATATAATCCATTTGTGGGACTTCTATCCAAAAATCTCAATAAGATAATATGCTTCTTGAATTTATTTTTATTTTTTTTTAGTTTCTTTATACAGAGATAGATGGATGACTTAAGTGGTGTTTAATAAAATTGAAAAAATAAAAATTAAGTGGTGAAAATTGAATGCTAAATTTTGTAAGCTAAGAATATGTTTGATAAAAATGTAAGTGTAGAATTAAAATAAATTATTTGATATGTACAATATTAAATTTAAATTTTTATATCTTTTAATTGTATATTGTGATAGTAAGTCGGTTGGTGGTGGTGATGGAAGTAGAGGCAACAATGGTAACTATAGTGCCAATGATAATGATTGTGAAAATAAGAAAATAGTGATTGCGGTGATAGTAAAGGTGTAATGTAATGAAGATAAAAGTGAGTTGGCGACAGTGGTGTAATGATGATGATTATTGGGATGATGGAATGATGATGTTGGTTATGGTAATATTTGTAGATGTTAGAGGTGATCATGGATCTGTTCAACCCACCAACCTAACCGACCGATCTAACCCAATTAATTTTAGGTGGATGCATGTCTTTCGGCCGGCAGATGCAGATAAAATATTTCAAAATCTGTGGACATGGTTCGGACGGCAGATCAATTATCCCGCACCCGTATGAACCCGATCCGGTTGTAGATGAAGTTCAAAAAAAATAAAAAAGAAACTGCTAACAAATAACAACAAAGAATAGAAATAATACAGTATATATTTTTGTAAAAATAGAAAACATTACTTTGAAAATATACATACACGGTGCCATAATTTATGATAGACAAATAATACATTTTTTTTTTTCTTCAAATTACTAGTTATTATAGATTGTAAAAGTTATGAATTATAATTCAAAAAAATGTCTAAAATTTATAAGGTTTAAACCGCCAAACTGATCGCATTCATCTGCCAACCAGCATGGCCTGTGCAATATACATCCGCCAAACTGGTAGATGGATGCAGATTGATTTTTTTTTCTAATCTGCCTATTTTGAACGGATGATGAATGAAATGCCACCTGATTCAATCCATTCCGCGATCACCTAGTAGATGTGAATGGTTGTATTATAATTTTTCTAATTTAATATTTGCCCTCCAAAAAAATCACATGTTTTATACGCTATTTTATTTATTTATTTATTTTGCGATTTTCGATTACATGAGCTTGCTTCTAGGCTACGGACCACCCACCGAATGAGATTAATTGGGCCTCTCCCGACTAACTCTTTCTGGGCCCCCGAATCAAAAGGCAATTCCTGTCTTTAAATCCTCCTTTTCCCTCCTATACTGTAGCGATACGGAGGTTTTTATCCTCAAGAATTTTGTCCTCATATACGGAGGTTTTGCTTTTCTTCCCCGATCAACATTTGAAACTGGAACATTCTTCTTGTTTCTGTAAAACATGTCAAAAGTGTAAGAAACTCCTATTTTTGAGATAATGCATAAGGAATTTGTTCAATGTGACAAAAAATTCAATTACAGTGATGTTAGAGCCCAAAGAAATTTGTTACCTGCATTTGTTAAGTTTAATGATGGATTGACAGCTCGTCAATGGATTGAATCGGAGCTTGGGGGTGCGGAGGGAAAAGGAGGATTTAAAGACAGGAATTGCCTTCTGATTCGGGGGCCCAGAAAGAGTTAGTCGGGAGAGGCCCAATTAATCTCATTCGGTGGGTGGTCCGTACCCTAGAAGCAAGCTCACGTAATCGAAAATCGCAAAATAAATAAATAAATAAAATAGCGTATAAAACATGTGATTTTTTTGGAGGGCAAATATTAAATCAGAAAAATTATAATACAACCATTCACATCTACTAGGTCAATAGCAGGATCTAAATAACTGTAAGATAAGCAAAGAACTATAGAAACTATAGAGAACTTACAGAAATTTTTATAACAGAGAGCGGAAGCTTACAAACTTTACAAGACTTGTGACTCGATTTCAAGTGTCAAGTGTAGTTTTTGGAACTTGTCTTGATGCTTGAAATATAGAACTTAAGACTCTATTTATAGACCTTAAGGGATAAGATTAGCATAAGATTGGGGATACGTGCCGAGTATTCATTGGACCTCATCGACGCACGATCGTGATCTTAGCAGAAACCTTATCGTTCTAGGACCAACATATCTCTAATACGACACAAACAGGAGATAAGAGATAATATTCCTTCAGCTTTACCCAACAGTGGGTATTGATTGAAGGGGAACATTATCAACCAGGATATGACAGGTTCATAGCTCTGGTTCACACAACTGTATTGAAAGACACGCCAGATTATGACAGGTTCATAATTCAGGCAAATTATTTACAAAATATCTATAATAAGTTAAACTGATATTATTCCCACAGTTTTTCTCAGTTGCCTGAGTATTGATTAAAGAGGAATAATATGCTGACCGACACTATTATTGACAAACATGCTGACCGACACTATTATTGACAAACACTACTGATGGCTACTTGCTTCTGATAGCTACTAGACTATGCTCATCATGCCCACCACGTTCTTCCCATGGAATATGATCTACCTGTTTGATCTTATCAATAATGAAACATTCTCATCAGCATGACGAGATCAAATAATTCATTATCAATCTCATTCAGTTCACAGGTCTGTTGGTGTACTTCGGGCAGTATGTCTGAATAGTGGTTGTCACTGCAGGCGGCTCTGACGACAGCTTCAAGCTTAAGCTGTTGGATTTTTCGTAACTGTTGGATTGCAGTACTTTTGTAAATACTTTCTCTTGTCAATTCTGACGTGAGAGTTATGTGGCTTGCCTTGCAAGGTGAAGATAATCATTTAGAAACTTAATGATATCCTTCACATCCCGGCAGGAAAGTCGTTCAAGGTCACGATAAGCTTCTTCCTGCATCAGCGTTGATCCTTGGTAGGGATCTTCAAGAGTAAACACAGTTCTCATCTGAGAGATGATATTCTGTGTACCTTCATTCCCATCGCCTATGGCCACAAGGTTAGCATATTCATCTGCATACCTCATTCGCCATTGTGTCCAGATTAACTTCTCCGTTTCTCCAAGGAGATTTTCCATGAACAGAAGTTTATCCCGAACATCTGTAAATCCCTGAGAAGCAACATAGGACCTTGTAATTGATTCCCATCTCATGAAAACATCATCAAATTTTCCAAGAGATTGTGGAATAATAAACATCGCTCCGGTCTGCTGCATTGCGGACGGTAAATTCCACATTTCATTGTTTGCTCCTCGTCGGAAATTAGATCGTATTCCTGTATTTTGTAAATAATTTGTAAAGTTGAAATCGAGTCACAAGTCTTGTAAAGTTTGTAAGCTTCCGCTCTCTGTTATAAAAATTTCTGTAAGTTCTCTATAGTTTCTATAGTTCTTTGCTTATCTTACAGTTATTTAGATCCTGCTATTGGTATCAGAGCTGGTTAATATGGCTATTATAGCGTAAACACTTATCAGGGTAGTGAAGGCCTCTGTTGTTGAATGATTTATTCTGTCTTATTTAATGTTTAAACTATATTAGTATCCTGCCAGGGCAAAGGTAATCATATATTAACCAAGGCAAAGGCTATTGAACTTATCAAAATTATAAAAAGGTATAGCATGATTTCTGTATTTAATTCTCTAAAGGCAGTATAATCCTTGAAGTTAAGATTTAAGTAAAAGACACAGGCCCTATATCTGGCAGAGAGGAGTAAGTCCAGTGAAACCCTGTGGTGAACAAAAATTTAACTGGTAAGGACTACTTGGACCTTGAGATTTAAATATAGTCTATAGCGCTTCCTTTTGGTAAATTGATAATCTAGATAGCTCAGACTAGTTAATATATTCTTACTCAGACCAGTAGAAATGATATGACAAATATATGGGAACAAAACATTAGAGAATGGTATGATAAATCAGGAACTTCACGCCTGAACTACCTTGATCTTGCCTCAACTGAAAAGCCATCAACTAAAGAACTAGCTCATAATATTGCTGTAATCTACGATCGAGTCTGTCTCTCAAGCAAAGTAAACTTGAAAGAATTTAAGGACCAGCAAATTCAAATTCAGTCTCTAGAAGCGTCAGTTCAGCAGCTTGGTAAAAAGGTAGAGAAGCTTGAAAAAGGAATTAGTTCCTTAACTCAGGTTTTCCTTGAAAGACAATCGTGGAACAAAGGGAAACAGCAGCTAAAGTCGATAGAAGGGATTCTTCAACAGCTCAAAAGGGCACTTGTTGAATGAGTCAAAACGAACTGGTGTACCTTGAAGCTCTCAAAGCATCTGAAACAACTGAAGCACCAGGGATCGGCTTAACAACTTCCTCTGATAAGTTGTCCACACCATCAGGTGTAAAAACCCTGATACGGCAGAATAATACCATAATTGAACTTTGTTTAAGATTGTCAAAACAGGTTGAAGCACTTGAAGGGAGAATCCGAGCCTTGGAAGCCCAGAAGTCTCCAGCACTTTCAACCGACGATCTTGTAGCAAATATCGCAAAACTCTCTCTCGGACCAAAGGAGAAGCCAAAGGAAGGAAAGGGACTTCTCAGAGTTCATCGGGATCCAAACAAGTTGTTACAGGACGAGCTTGATAAACTCAGGCTTAAAAACTCCTAAATGGCCTCATCTTCGAGAACAAGAACGGTGACCTTGCCAAGAGTCACTAACCAGCCACGGCCAACAACAGCAACACCTGGAGCACCATTATTTGAAGATCAGATCCGAGAATATCGTCAGGACCAGCGACGAAACTATGTTTTGCAAAGAAGAGCAAGAAACGCACTTCAAAGGATACGAGGACGCCCCTCAACATCAAATACCTTGGAGCAGCAGATCTCTCCAGAAGTGCAACTACAATTATCTATGGCAGATCGAGCAAGTATAGCACCAGCTGAGGTGTTATACAGGACCAGACGAGATGATGCACATCATCGAGTCTATGTTCATAGATCTGAAGAAGCCGTACTCTGCGTAGGAGAAACGCAAGTTGAAAGGCCCTTCATCCAGGAAGAAAGTTATGAAGAACTACGAAGGAGCCATATGCAGTACATCCATCTCGGAGTTGTTCAAATCCGACTCCAAGTCCTACATCGGATAGAGCAAGGGAATCTTGCTGTTCTAGTTCTGCGGGATACAAGATGGACGGGAGACCAAGCAACTTTCGCATCTATGGAGGTTGATTTAACACGAGGAATACAGATGGTCTATATAGTTCCAAATACTATGATGACTATTGGAGATTTCTACAATCATGTGCAGATCGTAATTCAGACAAGAGGATACGAGAATTGGCAAGGAGGTGAAGCCAATTTATTAATTACTCGAGGATTAGTCGGAAGGTTATCCAACACTCCCAACGTTGGATTCGCATATGAAATTCAAGGAGTTACTGAATTTCTAACATCTCGAGGAGTCAAAGCAATCCCAGGAGAACAAGTTCCCACTGATGTCTTGCGAGGACGTAACTGGATTATTCGACCACCAGTCAGAAGGATACATCCTCAACAGCCTACAACAGCTGTCTCTCGAAATTTACCTGGAGGTAATTTCAGCCTGCGATTCGGGGACTATGTAGCCGCTCAACGTGCAGATCCAGTTCATTATGATGCCAATGATAATGAAATTATGCAATCTGACGATGACGCTCAGTCCATCCGGAACGAATCCCATAATCAACAAGAGACACTGTTATACCTTGAAGAGCAACCAAGCCAGAAGGAAGATCTCAATATTCATACGGATATTTGGGATACGCTTGGCCAACCTAGTGGCAAATATGATTATTTAGTCAAATATAATGCTCCTAGCCACTACTCTGGGAAAAGTTTTGAAAAAGAGCGTCAACAAATACTTGCAACTGGATGGGAATCAGATGATGATGATTATCCTCTGGGATATAGTTCCACATATATCCCTCATCCTGATGATGAAACAGACTATCCAGTTATCCAGCAACAAGAAGAGACACTGCTTTTCTTTGAAGAACAACCAAATGTTTTCAAAGAAACTCTTGAAGAAGCAAGCACGAGATATGCAGAGTTCCAAAGACGAACGGAAGGTGGTGAAAGGCGATCACCAGAAAAGCAAGAAAGGCGGCGGCCATATTCCGAACGAAGAAAGTGGAAACCACGACCTCAAACTTCTGAACCACATCCACAACAACATCGACACAGGCAAAGAATGTTGCCGACACCAGAAACTGATACTGATGCTGAATCATCTTATCCTCCCCAAGAACAGTCCAGGAAGCAAAGAAAAGACAAGAAGGAAAAGCCACTTTGTCGGACTTGCTATCCTATGAGCGAGTATGAAGGATTCGATGCTGTCCAATTCATCAAACTGGTACCACATGCAACCAGACCAATCCGAGCAACTGATGGAGCTGTTGGTTATGATCTAACATCAATAGCCATGTATGTTATTCCAGCCTATGGAAGAACATTAATCTCTACTGGTCTAGCCATGGAAATACCTTGTGGAATGTATGGACGTATTGCCTCAAGATCAGGACTTGCCTTACTACATGGCATCGATGTTGGCGCAGGAGTAATTGACCCTGATTACAGAGGGGAGATTAAGGTCCTTCTCTTTAATCATAAT